ATGCATGCACACATATTAGCATACACACAAACCTACATACACACTCATATAAACACACACGCATACACTAACAAACAACTACACACGTTTGCACAAACACACACACCCACACTTATATATATATATATATATATATATATATATATATATATATATATATATATGTGTGTGTGTGTGTGTGTGTGTGTGTGTGTGTGTGTGTGTGTGTATGTGTATATATGTGTTTGTGTAAATGTGTGTGAGTATATGTGTGTGTGTGTGTGTGTGTGTTTAAATGTGTGTGTGTGTGTTTGTGTATGCGTATGTGTATGGTTTGTGTGTGTGTGTGTTTATATGAGTGTGTTTGTGGGTTTGTGTGTAAATATGTGTGCGGTTGTTTGTGTATGTTTGTGTGAATGTGTGTGAGTTTATATGTGTGTGTGTGTGGGTTTGTGTGTATGTTAATATGTGTGCTTGTTTGTGTGTGCGTGTATGTGTGTGTATAAATAAATATGTATGTGTGTGTGTGTATATAAGTGTGTGTGTTTGTGTAAATGTGTGTGTTTATATGTGTGTATGTTAATATGCGTGCTGGTATGTAAAAGCATACATGTAAGTTTGTGCATGCATGTTTGTGTAAATATACATGTGTGTGTGTGTGTGTGTGTCTATATATGTATGTGTGGTTGTTTGTGTGTGTATAAATATATGTGTGTGTAGTTGTTTGTTAGTGTAAATATGTGTGTTCAGATGAGTGTGTATGTGGATTTGTGTGTATGTTAATATGTGTGCCTGTTTGTGTGTGCATGCATTTAGGTTTGTGTGTTAGTGTAAATATATATGTGTGTGTGGTTGGTTGAGTGTGTGTGCATATGCATAAATGTATGTTTGTGTAAACGTGTGTGATTATATGTGAGTGTATATAAGTGTGTGTATGTGTGTTTGTGTAAATATATGTGTGTGTAGTTGTGTATGTTTCTGTGAATGTGTTTATATGAGTGTGTATGTGGGGTGTGTGTATACGTACATGTATGTTTGTGTAAATGTGTGTGTGTGTATGTATGTGTGTGTATGTATATATATATATATATATATATATATATATATATATATATATATATATATATATATATATATATATATATATATACACACACACACACACACACACACACACACACACACACACACACACACACACACACACACACACACACACACACACACACACACACACACACACACACACACACACACACACACACACACACACACACACACATATATACACACACACACACACACACACACATATACAGATATACATACACACACATAGATATAGATATATATATATATATATACATATATATATATATATATATATATATATATACATATATATACATATATATATATATATATATATATATATATATATATATATATATATATATATATATATATATATATATATATATATATATATATATATATATATATATATATATATATATATATAAGTGTGGGTGTGTGTGTTTGTGCAAACGTGTGTAGTTGTTTGTTAGTGTATGCGTGTGTGTTTATATGAGTGTGTATGTAGGTTTGTGTGTATGTTAATATGTGTGCATGCATGTGGGTTTGTGTGTGTGTGTGTGTAAATATATGTGTGTGTATACGTACATGTATGTTTTAGTAAATGTGTGTTTATGTGTTTGTGTATGTTAATATGTGTGCTTGAAAGTGTGCATGCGTGTGTGTGTGTGTAAATGCACGAATGTTTATGTGTGTGGGTTTTTGTGTGTATATGTATACTTGTTTGTGTGTAAGTGTGTTAATGTATGTGTGCGTTTGTCTGTGTGCAAATGTACATGTTCGTGTGTGTGGTTGTATGTGTACATGTGTATGTGTAAAAGTATTGGTGTGTGTGTGTGTGTGTATATCTGTGCTTGTGTAAATGTAGGTTTGCATGTATACATCTGTGTGTATTTAGTGTGTGTGTAAGAAAAACAGGTCTGTTTACCACTTTAATGTCACTGCTGTCATCATTCTACTCTCTCTCACACACACACTCTTGTGTGCATTATTGAGCACACACACTCTGCAGTATTGACGTTTTGACTCTTTGTTAAGAGCTAATGGACTCACAGTGCAAATACATCAGAAAGAGGCGAACACAAACTCCATCAAAACTGATCAGCACGCTAAAGCAAATGAAATGTGCCTAGAGAGCACATCTGAACAATAGCGCAACAGACAGCATCACAAGCACATTCAGATCTTCTCTATACGAGCTTTACATTAAACTAAAGGGCCATTAGAATAGTACAGCCCAGATCAATGTTTTGTGTCTAGTAGTTTACTCTTATAGCCAGCAGTCCTGATAATGCACATCCAGCCAGTTCTTATTACAGAATAAAAGTCTTCAGGCTTACACAAGATCTGCTGATAAACCTGTCTGGATTGATTTACATAGCAGACGACTGGAAGGACATTATCCCTTATATAACTCATAGTAAATGATACAAAAAGTGATTTATCATAAAGGGCCCGGTCATGCAGCCGGCGCAAGATGGGTTTGGCGTGATTTGTTGCTATTTTCAGACCAGCGCAACTGTCATTTCCCCGTTTTTGCATCATGTTGTTTAATGAGCAGATTCGTTTGTGCCACTCTATGGACTCATAGGTGTGCTGGTGTATAAAAAAGGTGTGTTAAGGCGGATTGTTAATTTGAGGAACTGAAATAGACCAACAGCACCATCGACCAACGAAGAGCTGCTCTAAAGTCCAGCAGAGTGTGTTATTTATGCGCCTATGCAGGTCCAAACACTTACACACTGCTGAATACACACAGTAAGATCAGCAACACACAAATATCTTTACAGATGAAAACTATTACTATATTATATTAAACAGGATAAAAATTATCCACAAATGATTATTTTCTTCACCTCGGGGGGCTTCAGTGTATTGCTGACGTGCTGCAGATGCTTTGTTTAACTGTTTTCTCGCTAGTGAAGCGTTCAGTTTTTACACTTATAAAGTATATTTTTTAAATTAGTATAAAACATTTATTTATTTATAGATAATTTATTATTATTATATTATTGTTTTTATTTATGTGTTTATTTGTGTATTTTGAGGATGCTGTGCAACATATTGGATATCAAAACACTAACAATCTATAACGAGATAATAAAAAAAATTATAAAATATATATTATTAAATAGCATAAAACATTTTATTTATTTATTAGGCGTTTTTTTTATATTTTTAAATGTATTTCATACATTTTTTGGGGCAGCACGTTAGCGCAGTGGGTAGCAAAATCGCCTCACAGCAACAAGGTCGCTGGTTCGAGCCTCGGCTGGGTCAGTTTTCATTTCTGTGAGTTTGCATGTTCTCCCTGTGTTGGCGTGGGTTTGCAGTTTTGGGTTGCAGCTGGAAGGGATAAGTTGGCGGTTCATTCCGCTGTGGCGACACCAGATTAATAAAGGGACTAAGCTGAAAACACAATGAATGAATGAAGTATTTATTTAATAATAATAATATAATATATGTATATATATATATATAATAATATATAGTTTATAGTTATAATATATATAACTAAAATCTGGAGAGTATTGTTTTTATTTATTATCATCATCATTGACCACTGGAACTCAAACTCACTTAACAGTGAATAGTTTTTTCATGTTGAGGTTTGCATGTAATCTCTGGTGTGTTTTGGTGTTAGCATAACTCACGCGTCTGCGCAGGCGGTCTCGCTCCTCTCGGATGGCGTTCAGGCTGGCTTTAGTGCGGTTCAGATCCTCTTCTTTACTGCAGAGCATCGCTGTCAGACTCTCGTTCTCGTCCCGCAGGCCGGCCAGCTCTTTCTCCCAGCGCACACGCTCCTCACACAGACTGGGGTAAAAATCATGACCCAGAGCGCCCTCGATCTCCTCCACTGTCTGAAACAACAGACAGAAATAGAGCTGGAAAGCTTGGTGTGTGTGTGTGTGTGAACAGAATATAGATGTTAACCCTTGTGTACTGTTCAGATTGACCCCCCCCTTTGGTGATGTTGGTGCTGTTTTTGCCCCATTGACTTCCATTATAATCACATTTATTGATTGTAAAGCCATGACAGCAGATAATCATGCATTCTCGACTGGTCATTTTTACTGTTGATCATCAGTTGTCAGCATTAATCCTTTAGATTGGCCTGTGCAAACGTTTCTGGCTTTTATTTGGAGTACAGTGGAGGAAAACCACAGACTGTAAAAGATATGGACGTAGTATCCGTGACATCACCCATAGGATTATGAAGAACTCAAAGAAAGATACCAGTAGGCGTGGCCAACCGTCATCATTTTGTTCGCATGTCATCGCACCAACCGGGGAATACCAAATAAGGGCAAAGAGGCGGAGCGTGAGCAGAGCTACAGATGCATACTGGCATTTTGCTTAGACCTGGTTCAGACAGGCTTTTCTTTGAGAGAAACGCTTAATACTTCATTACCTGCGACTCGTTTGTGTACTAACCACTTGTGCTTGGCTGTACACTACATCAATAAAGCGTTTAGTCTTTGAAAAACACTGCTGTAATACACTGAGCCACTAAACATTGTACTTATGATGCTTTTCTACAGGAGGAAAATGCGAATTGCTTGCAAACACTTCAGATATAGTCTGTGTTAGTAAATGCAGGACTATTTATGAAATCCAGCATAACACTGTATGACAACACTTTAGATGACTGTTCTAGAGCCTACAGCTAATCAATCTATCAGATTATGGAGTGCATTACAGCTCTAAAGAACATTAAACATGATAAATGATCTTAAATAAAGCAAATGCATTCATAGAGATGGTGTATAAGTATATAATTTCACTAGCCTGGGAAACAGAGGCTACGTGAATGGTTTGTGAGCACACAGCATGCCATATCATCTGATAATTGTAGGAAATAATTCCAAAAGGCAACTGACTGTGTAAAGCCACATAAAACAACACAGAAATACGATGAACATGCC